GGTGAGGCGCCCCAACCCAGCAGGTGCGTTGTCCGGCCTAGGTGGCCCGACTCGCCTGGCGCTGCGGCTTCTGCCCAGGGAGGCCCAGCGGCGGGACGGGACGGTGGGATCCCTGCGGGGTCCCCTGGCTTCTAGAGCCGCGGCGGCTGCAGCTGCGCAGTCCGCCGCCGCCGCTGTCCGCATCCCAGGCCAGACCCGGGCGTTGGACTCAGGCTGGGGCACTCCAGTTTGCCTCCCACTCCGGCATGTTCTCCAAGGCCTTTGTCCCGTTCCCTGGGCCGTGTGTGGGCTCGCCCAACTCCCACCCACTCTGGCCACCTGTCCTGTCCCTCCCTGCCACTTGCCGCCCACCTCTGTCTACCTGGACTCTGCAGACTGATGGGAAGTAATGCTTGAGGCTTAATCCCGATGCACACGCTTTTGCCAGGTCTCAGTTGGGATTAGTGCATTATTGTATTTGTGGGTTATAAAAGAAGTCTAGAATCAGCTAAGTGATGTGCTTAATTAAAAAAAAAAAAGTTTTGTTTCTCGGAGCTGAGGTATACATAACCCGAGGGCTAGAATTCCTCACCTACAGCTGTGGTACTATGCCAAACACCAAGGGAAGAATTTTGTCTTTGGCAGCGCGTTGGCGATGTGTGACTCATACTAAGCTGTAACATCTTGGTGACTCATGCCAGGATTACCAAGATTTTAGAGGTAGAAGAATCTTAAATTATCTGACTCTAAATTAAAAAATCATTTCTTACCTCAACACCTGGTCACCAATGCCTTTCATAAACGATTTTAGTGAAGCGGAGTTGTCACTATTCCATAGACGTTAAAATGTTGCCTCTGTTCCAGCCCTGTCCCGAAAATATTTGAAAATTGTAGTTATATGTGTCCCCTAGGTTCTTGTAATACTAATTAAGTAAATGTCCCTCTTTTCCTCCCTGCATCCTGTGATTAGTGGAACAGTGGTGACTAGCCCTGGCACTCCCCGTGGCTTTTCCTCTTCCTGAGTAGTGGATGTATGGATCAATGGAAAGAGTGCTGTCATTTCTTTCCAGTGTCCACACCTCCTTCCACCCCGGAGTACCCCCCCCCCACACACACACACCCATCCATAGAACAACCACAATCCGTAAGTGGTGAGAAGTGCCGAAGCATTTTCCCAGGGGAGAGAGAGGAGAGAGAGACTTGAAATTGATAGTGTTTTATCCATCCACTTAATACTAGCTGTAGGCTGTGTTCTAAGCACTTTGCCGGCACTAACTCATTTACTTCTTGCCCACCCATGAGGTGAGATACATGCATAGTCTCATGAGGCAGATGAAGAAATTGAGGGTTAGACCAATTAACCTGTTATTAGAGGTTTCAATTCTTCAATAACAAACTGGGGTTTGAATCCAGGCAGCTTGGCTCCAGTAGTCAGATTTAGCTGCTCCTGTGTCCCTTCTAGAGATTAGAGGAGGTGGTGAGGTCAGCGCAGAGTGGTTACAAAGAAAAAGTTCCACAGTAGAAAAACTAGCCAGAGAGCTGCAATCTGGGAAAACAGTAACTTTGTATAGTATCATTGCTAAAAACTTGCCAGTGCTACAGAGCTTTATTTTTATTTTTTATTCTGGAATATGGAGAGTAGAAGAGGAAACATGCTAAAAAGTAACTAGAAGGGAAAACACCCCTCCCCACTTGGTTTGAAGGCTTTTTCAGGCTCATAGCTGAGGTTCTGCACACTCCAGTTGTATCTCTGTCACACTTCCACAACTGATAGGCTTAGGGCTATCTAAACTGATAGGTTGAGGCTGTCCTCAACATAGTTAAGTTCCCCTTAGTATCGAGAGATGCATGAAGCATGGTTACAATGTTTGATTAACAAGTCAGGGAAGTACATAAAGATAATTTAGACTGATTTTAAAGTTTCAGTGAGTTTAAGATATTAAAACTGGCCGGAGACTTAGCCTCTCTTCAAGGATATTTTAAGTACTTTAACCAAGGATTTATTGCATACTTAATAGTTTGCTGCTCTTTAAAGGGCATATATTTTAGTTGGGAGGTAGGGCATGTATAGAATAGCAAGCACATGCCAAGTATCAAGTACACATCATCAATAATAAATGCTCTGAGAGCGCAGATGCTTGAATCAGGGATGGCATTGTGAAGGAGACAGGGTTTGAGGTAAACAAGATTAGCACCGTGCAACAGAAAGTTGACGGCTTTTATTTTTGTATTACTTCACTGCTGACTCTCCCAGTGAAAGTCTTGACTTCTTGGTTTTATTCTAGGAAAACAAGGTTTTTGTCAGCATCAGAAAAATATGAATTCTGTCGTCACAGACTAGAAATGAAGTATTTTTACAGCAATAGATATAGAAAGAACCTTTGCTTCCCATCCAGCTTCTAATTATGACAAAATGATTTTGTAAACTTGTAGTAGGAGATGCTTTCCTTGCTGGGGATATAGATCAATGGAAAGAATGCTTGTCTAACAGGTGAGAGGTCCCGGGTTCAGGCCTCAGCACTGGGGGGAAATGCTGCTGAAGGGTTGGGGACATGGCCTATGGGTAAAGCACCTGCTGTGCAGGCATGAGGACCTGAATTTGGATCCCCAGCATCCAGGTCTAAGCTGGCAGGGGTGTGGAGTTGGATGCTGAGAAGCTCGTCCATGAACTTTAGGTTCATTGAGAGATTCTCTTAAAGAACAATGTGGAGAGCCATTGAGGAAGACATCTGATGTTGATCTTTGGCCTCCCCACACGCATGCACAGGCATCAGTACTTGCATAGATACACACACACACACACACACACACACACACACACACACACACACACAGG